AAAGGAGGATAAGAACAAATCTCCATCAAAGTGAATGACATGGCAGCACGGCAACTGGTGGAAGTTGAAAACTACCGAAGAAGTGTAAATAAAAAGGTGCCGGAAAAATAATCCAGATTGTTTATGACATATGTATCTAACTCCCTGTGAATTAAAACCTGTACCTCCTCTGCAGATAAAGTCGGACTTGATCCCTGGAAAGTCATACAGGTAGCATTTTCGAGTGTAACGGAAATTTCCGTAATCGATACCTTGATCTCAAATTCATACTAAGATCTCTTATAATTTGTCAACAAAAAATAAATGCAAACACAATGAAAAATATTGTTTAAAAAAAAATTGAAATGGCAAAGAAGCACATTCGTAAATGGTGGCCACATGTGAAAAAATACCCGTGTAAACAATAATGTGCCAATTGAGAAAGTGAGGAATAAGTAGGAATAGTAGAGGGAGCTAGCTATGTCAATATAGATGGTGCAATGTTATTGGTGGAAAGTAGTCCCATGATATTTACATGTTCAGAAATGACACAAAAATTTTTTAACAATATTTAGAGGGCAGAAGAAGATCGAGATAGCTTTGTGTGACTAGAGATAAGACTGTATCAGAACTTCAAACTACTCATATTGTCATAGTTTGTGCCAGTCTGAAACCACAGCAATTTTGCAGGGTCAAGTGAGATGCCTATTTTTTACTCACAATATGACCTAACATTTTTACTTCACACTTCCTGGGTTTCAACTTTAATACTGTTGTTCTGATACACTGAAAAACCATGGACAAGTTTCTAATAGTAGACTCATGCATTTGGCCAAATAACAGGATATCATCCACATATACCAGATACCTCTCCCATTGTGGCCCTTTAAATGTAAGTTCTATTACCTCTCAAAAGTGGTGAGTGTATAACACAGGCCAAATGGTATGAATACGAACTTAAACAAGGTATCTTGTGAACTAAAAGCAGTTTTGACTGCTCTTGTCATCCAGTTGAACTTGTCAGTGGAGTGATGAACCACTGGACAATTCAAACATATCCAGACATAAGCTCACAGTAATGAAAATTCTCAAAGCACGTGATAGTGGTTACTTGGTCGAAATCAACACTATTACCATCCTTTTTCCTGACAATCATCACTGGAAAAGACCATGCACTCTTAGAAGGTTGTATGAATCTCTCTGTTAACATCTGCTTTTTCTCTGTACTGGCTATATCCCCAGGGCTCCAAAAAAGCCCATGCAGCAGTTGTTTCATAGGACTTGCATCATCTGTTTCTTTGTGGTGGCAAGTGATTGTAGTTCTCCCCATTTGGCCATCTGGTCCAACAGATATATAGGTATAATTAGCCATCTAGCTACTAAGACTGGCACTATACTGAGTCTAGACTGTTCCTGAAATCCTCAACTAGTGGTGTCAAATGAGTTGGTAGCAGAGTATTGTTTTCAGATGTATGTGGTTGAAGTAACACTAGTGTTACAGGTAGCATTGGTCACTTCAGTATCTACCTTGTGGCTATATACAACTTAAACCTCCTTAGTTTTCTGGAGCTTGAGTAACAGTCTACTGCTGGCCCTCCTGCACTTGCTGTGTAGTTAGTCAGGATGGATAGATTAGTCTATCTTGAAGCACAGCAAGATATAGGGTAATATGGTTGGAAACATTTTTGGAAACCACAGAAAATGATTGGATTCTCCTTTCTGAAGTGACATCTTGGTGGATTCTCTGGCTACATTTGCTGCAGTGTAAACACCAGAAGAGGGACAGGGTAGCTCTGCTTATTCACTGGAAACCAGTTTGTCTGTGCTAAAACACCTTGAAGTATCAACTGTGGCCCTGTTCTTGTAGTATCATACTTGGAAGCACCACAACAGCTGCTGCTTTTGGTTTCCTCTTTTTTCTATGACTTGTGAGGTTATCATCTTAAACCTCAATGCCGTAGGTAATGCTTACATCTAGGTATGAATATTTCGTAAGCCAGGTGATGTCTCATGATCTCACTCCTCATTCAGCTATCCTTTGATGAAATTGTGGACTAGGATGTCCATACGATCTGCCAATGATATTGCGGAGAATGCTTTACTATGCAAATAATACAGACCATCTGTGAAGGTACACAACTTCTCAGATGGAACCTTTTGGCAAGCCATAAACACCATGTTGAACTATCAGCATGCCCAGCTTTGATTACATCCCAGTTTCCAAGTTGTAACTCAGTAAAATACTAAATGGCTGGATCATACAACCTTAGAAACAGGCATTGCATTTGCTTTCTTGAGACCATTGATTCCAGTCAATGAATTGCCTGAAATACCTCAAGAAATGATCAAAGACTTTTTTTAGCTGCCTCTTTAAGCACTGGGGGAGTGACCTATTTTACTTCTGCCACATGTGAGCATGGACTCAGAGCAGATATCTCAATGGCAGGCTTGCAGCCCATTTCAAACTGCACAGTCTAGTATAATGGAGATGCCACTGACTAAGGGGAGTCAGAATTTAAATTAATTAATTGTTGGGATAATCAAAAACAGTAATAATCATATATAATAATTTTGATTAAATCATCCAGCTCTATACATGGGTGAAGGATATTGTCAGTCTATTAAAATATTTTTTTAGCTTCAGTAGTTAATGGTTCCTGCTGTTAATTAATGTCTGGCTGAAAAGTGTAAACATTCCTATAATCACAGATGAAGGATCCACAAAAAATTAATACCTTCTGCAGGTAATAAATATTCTGTGATAAAACTCACTAGAGGAGGATGAGATGAGATAAATGCAAATATCAAGTGGCATACATGCTAAGGAATTGTGTGTTTAAGGAAATAAAGTTGTATACACACATTATCCAATACATTAAAATTACCAAATGATGTCAGGGTATTATAAACATGATAGGTAATGACAAAAAAAAAGTTCAACAAAATTAAAATACAAAAGACATTTCTCTCGTAACAGTATTTTCTGTCATGCAATATAAAATTTAGACTAAATATTAGCATGCAGTAACTTTAGTGAATTATATAATATCAGGCTTTAGTTTTTCAGTGGTTCTTTAACCTATATCAAAGGTATCACAGCAAAAATATTATCTCAAGTACACAAGTTTTTGATTTGATAAGATAAATTTACTGAATTCCCACATTTGTATAAAGGTTGTCCAGTTTATACAAATTTAATAATTTTGGACTGAGTGAGCTTTAACTTATTTAAAGAAAACCTTCAGTGTTTTTTGTTGCATAAAACATGCTTGGTAGTTAATATAATTTGAAATTAGTAACTGTTTATAAATCACAAAATCTAACATTAATTTGTATCAGTATTCCACTAAACATAGCCTTTAACACTGATGAGTTGTGAATACAGTAAAAAATGCATTAGAAAGTTATATGATCATTAATGAAATTATGTCGTATGCAACATTCATTGTTCAGTTTTTTATGAAATTGCTAACAGTGTATTTGTCAAACACAGACAGTTTTTCTAAATTAATATGACTGAGAAAATACCTAAAAATGAAGCAGAACTAATTTATAAATTTTTTATACCACATATTTATATTTTAACAGAAAAGACTTAACTATATAAAACTGGCCTTTACAAAGTGACCTGTCTTAATTTTGTCCTAGTGGATCAGTATTTTGTAAAATACAGTCACATTTCAGTTATACATATGTATATACATTACTACTATTTACAAATAAATTCTTAAATTTCAGTTATTTTTCTTACAACATAGAACAGTAAATAAGAAGTATAGAAAACAATATCTATTCTAATTATGATCTTTGTACTCATTTGCTGCTTGCCATAAGTAGCTGAGCCTTATCAAATTTTGCATGTGAAGGATGTAAAACACAATTTTTTTAGGTTTTATATATGCATTTTTAAATAACAGAAAATCATAAATTACTATATCAATACCACAGAACTCCACTATAAATTATCAAACTTAGTAACTATGCTGTATTTGGGTCTAAAAAATAAGATTTTTTCGAGCTTACTGATGTCTTACTTTACCACTTGGAATCTAGCATGGGAAGAAAGTTTTCTGCACAAACCTAAGAAAACCACTAGGGGACATTCTGAGCTTTTGATTGGTTATATACATGTGAAGTAGGTATACATAAGCAAGTATTTTCAAAAATGCAAGTGGTGGGCGGGGCCATCTTGTTGATTCAATAAATATATTAATATCTCAGAAAATAAAAAAGATAGGAGGTTCTTATCTTATACTCTAGCTTGTCAATATCAGTAATTTGAGTATCTAATTCATAAGAAACTATCGATGTTGTATTTGGACAACATAAACATTTAATTTGAACCAATGCTGCATTCAACATGGCACGTGACACACAAAAATCGATATTTAGGATTTTTTTTAAATATT